CGGCTCTCGCTGGCATCCTCACTCCCAGACGGAGTGGGGGTGAACGCCACCACCTCCTCCTCCAGGACCTCGACCATGATCGTCGAGGGCCTAAGGAAACTTGGGGCGGAAGGAAACGGCTTCTCTTCAAAGCGCGCAACTTCCCCCTACCTGGTGCACCAGCTGTCGAGGGAAGTTCCCCGATAGCGGGAGGTCGCAGGACCCTCCCTTTCGTGAGTTCGGCCGGGGGAAGAAGCTCGCCTTTTAGAAATCGCGTACCTGCCCCTAAGGCGTCTGGCTAGCTTGCGCACAATCGGATTATACAGGTTCGGGCCGCTATCGAGCGCAACACCCTACTCCTGTGTTTGGGATTATGTATGAGTTTTATAAGGGTTCCTTTACTCCGGAGAGCACTCTCGTCTTCTCCTAGAGTTTAGGTTTTCTGACCGTCGTCCCCCTTTTTTATATTTTTATATAAAGATAAAGATTGGATGGTAAACATCTATTATTGTTTCTCTATATTTTTTTTTTGTTGTTCATGGCTTTCATCTCGTTATTATTCTTCTCTCTCCGTTTCGGGTTATAAGACATTTTGACTTTAGTCAAAGTCAAACTACTTTAAGTTTGACTAATTTTGTAGAAAAAAGTAGTAATATTTTTAACCCAAAACTAATATATTATGAAAAATTATTCAATTATAGATTTAATGAAACTATGCTGGTGTTGTAAATGTTACTACTTTTTTCTATAGAGTTAGTTAAACTTAGAGTAGTTTGACTTTGACCAAAGTCAAAACATCTTATAATCTGAAACAAATGAAGTATTATTGTAAACGCTTAGCATTGTTTATTTCCTTTTTTTTTGTTGTTGTTCGCTTACTTACTATGGTAGCGTCTGTATATATGAAATCTATTCTATGAGAATAGTAATGCAAACATCCAACATCAATGTGGAAAAAATGCATCTGTGCAATGTTCTATGGATGTCATGTGTGTTCTTACCAAGAGGACCTTTTAGCTATATCAAATATTGAAGCACACTGCTAAATTATTCTTTTACCATGTATTGGTGCAAATGGCCTTACACTTCATAATCATTTACTTCAACGATCAGAGCACATACAACTTGAAAATTGTAGAAAGTAAATGGCATTGTTGGTACACAAACTTATCAAACCGCTGTAATTTTGTACATAAACTTGCAAATGGTAGTTTTGGTACACGAATTTGTCTGATGCGTGTTGTTTAAGACTCCAGCATGCCCAGATTATTACTATTGTTTTTACCATGCTGATGGAGCATGATTAATTCTAATTTTGTGTTCGATTTGAATCAGATTAGTCTAATTGTCTGGACTTATATAATTGATTTGATGCCTCGAGTTTGGGAACGGACGGCGCTCTCGGGAGAGAGAGTCACCGCCGAGCTGTCATATCTTTCTTGCGTCGTCGGGGGATGCTATCTTCACCGAGTAAGATCAGGGGGGCTTCTTACTTGTGTAGTGGCGTGTGGACTGTCGTAGGATCATTTTGTCATCATATTAACTTTTATCACTTAGTACTTGATACTATCAATTCGCCTGATGCACGACCTGACCGAAGGGATTACGACAGGTTACCTCTACCCTTTTCGATTTTTGATTAAATGAATGATTTGTGAAAGAATCTTAAAGCTTATTCTTTTTGTTGTCGTTTAAGGCTTCTGTCTTGTTATTCGATTATAAACATCTAAAATATTTGTTTCTCCAGTTTATTTTGGTTGTTCGCCTACTTGCTTGTCTGTATATATGGAATTTGTTGTCTGTAATGCATCCATGATCCATCCAATGCCAGTGAGAAAATATATTGTGTATGTCCAATTACTACTGGAAAAAGCATTTTTCCCGACGTAGGGGTCCCATTTTCGCAGGCGGACATGACTCTTAAAGCCAAATGATCGCCTACAAAAATATAAATCGGGGTGAAATTGTCAGTCCGCCTGCGAAAATAGACTTAAATATAAATAGACTTGGGTAGGGGTTGATTTTTTCTAAGTCTCCACACCTCACCCTCCCTTCCTCACCCACGGCCGGCCTCTCCCCTCCCCATACCTCACGGCCTCTCCCCTCCCCTCACCTCTCCTCTCCCCGGCCGTCGGAGGGGGAGCGACGGCGGCTACGGCGCGGGGTGGCGCGACGGCGCGGCGTACGGCTGGCGGCAGCCTCCCTCCCCTCCCCTCACCTCTCCTCCTCTCCCTGGCCACTGGAGGGGGAGCAACGGCGGCTATTGGGCGGCGCGGCGCGGCGTCCGGCTGGCAGCGCGCTCCCCTCCCAGATCTGGCGGAGGAGGGATGGGGGAGGCCGGCGAGCGCGGCAGCGGCGGCGACTACAGCGCGGGCGGCGGCTCCCCCCCCCCCCCCCCCCCGGGCTTGACAAGTTCAGCAAAACCGTAGAGAAAGTGGGCTACACCTAGCTTAGCCTATCCAATATCCGATTCAAAAAGAGCTTGGATTGCTACCTTTTCTATCTCTGTATAAAGTCAATTAGTCCCAGTGTTGGGAAGAGCCCACTGTCAAAAGATCGTTTTGCTAGGATGCTTGCTTGAATCTAGTTACTTCCAAAAAAAGGCATTTGGAACTCTATACGGTATGGCTACAAACCGAATGAAGAAGTCGTAATCAGGATTTGATCTATCTGGATCAGCACATTTTATTACAACTTCTTTAGGAGTATGACATAGCCCCCCTCCCTCCCAGATCTGGCCGAAGGAGGGAGGGGGGAGGCTGGCCACAGCGAATACGGCACGGGGCAGCGGCGGCGGCCACGACGACGGGTCGGGGCGGCGGCGGCAGCCACGACGACGGGTCGGGGCGGCGGCGACGACAACGCGCGGGGCCGCGGCGGCGGCTCCCCTCCCCCCTCCCAGATCCGGCCGGAGGAGGGAGGGGGGAGGCCGGTGGCGGTGACTACGGCGCGGGGCGGCGGCGGCGACGACGACGGCGCGGGGCGCGGCTCCCCTCCTTTCCCCTCCAAAATCCGGCCGAAGGAGGGTGGCGGCAGCGAGGCGCGTGGCGGCGTCGGCGAGCCGCCGCCGTGATTTTTTTTGTTCGTTTCATGGATTTTTGCAGGAGGGCTGTTGTCCCGACTGTGAAAATCGTTGATTTTCACCGTTGTTGTGCTACAAGTGGTCCAACCCTTCGCTTGCAAAATTCACTTTTGTCTGTCTGCGAAAATACTTTTTCTAGTAGTGAATGTTGTTCTTTGGATGGATATCACCAAGGACATATTACTCGAAAATGGAAAGGCATTTGGGCAATTGGGCTTGGGATAGTCAGTGAGTGCTGGCCTGCTGGGTAGATCAGGGGCTAAGGGCATCTGCCTCAGGTTATTGGACGTTGTTCCAAGTTCCAACAACGACCAAAGCACGATGTTGTTATTAACAGCATCCACATCTGGATGCCCTGCAACATATACATAGCACCCATCCCATTTTTCCAAATTACTTCCTCCATAAGAAAGTATATGATGTACTTTTATAAAAATAAAAAGTATAAATCTTGACCAACAATTAATATGATTACAAACACACTTACCAACAGTTAATCAGACTATTCACATATCTCTGGATGCCCTCACTCTGCCTCCCACCCCACCTGCCATCGAATGCTCCCCCTCAAGTTGCATCGCCCCACACAACCACTCAAGCCAAGTTTAGTTCCAATTTTTTTCTTTAAATTTCTAACTTTTCCATCACATCAAAACTTTTCTATACATAAAAACTTTTAACTTTTCCGTCACATTGTCCTAATTTTAACCAAGCTTTCAATTTTAGCGTGAACCAGTCCATTGATAGCTCCCTCCTCTTGGACTACCTCCACAAAACAATAAAGGCCGTGGCTGCCAACATACTGGCCTCGCGCCACCCCAAGTAACATTGCTTGCCTTCCTCGGCTCAAATGAGGCGAGCAGAGGAGAGGAGCACTGCTGGGGTGATAGTTTTGACGATGGAATAGCAACGGTGATATGCGCAGGACGCATCTCATGGTGCGGCTCACAATGGTAGGCCACTCCCAATGCAGGGAACAACGGAAAAGTGGAGAACGGTGTGGCGAAGCTCGAGATCCGGCATTGGAAAGTACCTTTACCCAGTCTTTTTACAGCACAGCTCTAGCAAGCAATGGCGTGTATGTCAACCATGGACCAAAAGTCCCTGAAGTAGTCGGGGATTTCGAAGCCGTTGGTAGAGAAGAGCGCAACGGCGAGCCCGCCACTGCTGTGAAACAACAACTTCGGAGACGTCGGGACAAGAATCAGGCAGCAGTGCAGCACCAGGGCATCGACTGGCTTGGTGTTCAGGCGATCAAACCGTCGAGCACCTGGCGTGCGTCGGTGCGTGGCGAAACAACGCCTCTCTCCGCGGCCGCTCCGGCGCCATCTCGAGCGCGCACAAAGAGTACAGCTCAGGAGGCGGTAAGATCCAGGTTAGGAGACGCAGTGACGTGTATAGCAACAGCTCAGGAGGCAGGCGGGAGATCGGGAGCACGGAATATAGTTGAACGACGGCGCAGAGAGCGCGCGCAAGCGCGAAGGGCCGTGCGATGGATTTGCATTGCACGTGAACCACAACCCTGTTCTGGCCCAACTATATTAGGCCTGCTTGTTAGCCACAATACCGATCCGGCCCATCGAGCCGAGCAGACACAGAAGTTGAATTTCTACACCGATGTATGCAAGTGATTGAAATTGTTGTATAAAAAAAGTATATAATATGAGAATATAGATTCTGATGATATAATACATCACACAAATATATAGTCTAAATTTAATCTACACAGGAAAAAATAAAAATAACAAAATTTATCTATGTTGTATACGTACTATTAACTGTCTGATTTTATTATATTACTTTAGCCTTGCATGTTTGTTTATAGACTTATCTCATTTCAATTGATACTACTAGTATTATTTTTTATTTTTTTTCCATAACTATTCTAAGTCGTATGAAAATAACGGATGCACACCTTACCCCTCGTACCATACCACGGTCCAAGTAAAAACATTTTTTTTTCAAAATGTAGACCCAGGCAATAGAGATGAACGAACTCCTCACAAGTTCACAACGAGGTAACATCCTGCATACCAAAGCTAAAGCTGACAACAACATCACTGAGATCAGGCATAGTTTCAAGCCAACAACACACATCAATCCCGGAAGAAAATCAGGTAACGGATCGGATCGACACAGCTGCAACTCCTGCACGGATGGTGTTCGACAGTTCGAGGATCGAGACGGCCAGCCGTCCCGGCCGGCGAGGTGCTAGCTTTGCTCTAGCAGTTTCGCTCACGCGCTGCCGCGGGAGAAGCCGAAGCAGGAGCAACCCTGGGAGGCGTGCTCCGGGACGGGGGTCATGCCGCCCTTGCCGCGCGAGGTGTCGATCTTCTCCAGCAGCGCCACCACCTCCGACATCTCCGGCCTGTTGTCCGGGTTCGCGTCCCAGCACCTCGCCATGATGTCCGCCATCGCCTTCGGGCAGCACCTCGGTATGTCCGGCCTGATCCCCTGTCACCCATGATCCATTGATCGACAAGAAGCAAAATCAATCAATCGACAAGAATCTTGGGGAGGCGATTTATCATGGCGAGATGTGTCTATCTACCAGCTTGTCGACGTGGTAGGAGATGTCAGCGAGGCTGTAGTTGGGGTAGGCCATGGCGCAGCAGTAGGTCTCCCAGAGGAGGACGCCGAAGCTGTAGACGTCGCACTTGTGGTCGTAGGCGCGGCCCTGGAGCACCTCGGGCGCCATGTACCCGATGGTGCCCGTCTGCCCGGTCATGTCGTCGCCGTCGGCGCCGGCCTCCACGCGCGCCACGCCGAAGTCGGCGATCTTGAGCGTCTTCTTCCTGTCGAGCAGCATGTTCTCCGCCTTGACGTCGCGGTGCACGATCTTCTCCCCGTGCAGGTAGCGCAGCCCCCTCGCCATGTCCAGCGCCAGCTGCACCACCTTCTTGTACGGCAGCTTCTTGTCCCGGTGCTTGTACAGCAGCGTCTTCAGCGTCCCGCCGTGCTGGTACTCCACCACCACCACGCAACGCTGCCCCCCGCCGCCGCCGGCGCTGCCGCCGCCGACGCTGCTGGACCGCGACTCCGCCTTCGCCGACGGGATCTTCAGATGCGACGTCCCCATCGACGCGCCCACGAACTGCACGCATGTACACAGACAGATCGATCGATCAGACACCGTACACGACGGATTCAACGGCGTGGATTGATTGCTGCTCACCTTGGTGACGTTGGGGTGATCAAGCTTCTGCCAGACGGCGACTTCCTTCTCGAAGGCTTCCCGGTGCTTCGCCGTCGACTCCTGCCCCTCCTGCCCCCAGTCCAGCACCTTCACTGCATTGAACACACATTGAGCAACAAATGTAAATATTAGTGCATACTCCCTCCGTTTCAGGTTATAAGACGTTTTGATTTTGATCAAAGTCAAACTGTTTTAAGTTTGATTAAATTTATATACAAATATAGTAATGTTTATAATACAAAATTAGTTTCATTAAATTAATAATTGAATATATATATATATATATATATATATATATATATATATATATATATATATATATATATATATATATATCTTCATAATAAATTTGTCTTGGGTTAAAAATGATACTACTTTTTTCTACAAACTTTATCAAACTCTTAAAGTAGTTTGACTTTAACCAAAATCAAAACATCTTATAATCTGAAACGGATGGAGTATTTTTTATATTGATGTTTGTCATCTGGATCAGTGATAACATCTAGCAACAAATTGTTTACAGGCAATAGGTCAATTAAATTACAAACGACCTTGTGTAAATCTGTAATGTAATAATGGGTCCGTTCTTTGGGGGAAAATGATATCTATTTACTACTAGCTAGAAAAATATGTACCCAAAATTTTACTCCATCAAGGAACTTGAATGTATGCTAGATAGAGGTGTACTCCCTTGCATAAAGGGTCACATACGGCTGATGTATATATGGTACTAATGTTTGAGTAAAAGTTACTAAATAATCTTCTTTGCAAATGGATGTTATGGGACCATCAACACCTAGATATTATTTCCCTTCTTCCATTTCAGCTAATTGAATAAGCTGTAATTAAATGGTACAGTGTGATTAAGATTTTTGCCTCAATCAAGATTTGCCACTTTTATACAAGGGACCTTGAAAACTCACAAATAAAAATACAATAACCGCACTACAATTAATGTTTCACAACTATTTTGTAGAAGTAAATCTTGCCAAAATTGCATTCTGAATGTTCCAAATGACAAAATTTTAAATAAAAAGTTTCTTAGGTCTATGTTAGCTATCATTCTATCTAATGTTGAATACACACATATATATTCCTAACTAGGGAGTATTTATCCCCGAGAAACACTAGAACTTTATGCCATAAATTGAGGTCACGTGGATCCGAGGAATTCACCCTTCCGTACATAATTAATGTACTACCACACAGCTTACCATAGGTTAAGAATCCCCACCGACCGTTACCACATAGCTTGCATCACACTATATCATTGTTGTCTTGCCCTCCACACCAATTCATATCTCTACTGACACGCGGCACCAAAAACATCCTTAGCAAACGACATCTCCTATCTTCTCCACCACCCGCAACAGCCTCTACTGACGCACGCACGGCATCTCCAACAGCCTCTACTGATGCACACGCCAACTCACGTGTTTACTATACCTCGCTAGAGCCAAAAAGGTGGTCAACAGGAGTTCCTCATCACCAACCTTCCACCCCTACCAACCAACGTCTACTGTTCCTCTTCGGCGGAGCCTACACCGGCCTCGCCTCCCCCCCTCCTCCTCCTTGATCCGCTTCCGTCCACCTTCACCTCCCATACTAACTTCCGGCGGTGCACTGACCACCATCACCATCACCATCGTCATCAACCCCACCACCGCCGCTCATCGTTCTCCTCTGTTTCGGTTCTCGCAGCTGGCTGGCCGACGGGAAGCAAAACCTAATGTCCAGTAATGGTAAGGAAAACAACAAAAACTAACCATCACTACAAAGGAAAACACAAAGGGCTATTTTACAAAATCTCTTGGTGACAAACGAGCCCTCACTGCTCAGACGACGATTCACCGTATCAAAAAGTGCTATGGTGCGGCGTACGGGCGTACGGCTAGCAAAGCGCGACATGCACGTTCATCACGGTGACAGTCTACGAGTCTAATACTAGTAATAGCATGTATAGAAAAGAGTTGATCGACGCAAGAGATCTGAAGGTTGATTTGATTCGATTTTTTACCGGCGACGTCATGGCCGTCGTAGGTGCCGCGGTAGACGACGCCGAAGGTGCCGTGGGCGACCTGGTTCTGGATGTCGAGCTTGGCGAGGTCGATCTCCCACTCCAGCAGCGGCAGCGGCGACGCCGCCGACGACGAGCGGTGCTGCTCGAGCCACACCTTGGACCGCGTCTTCTCGAACTGCACGTCCAGGTTCTTGAGGTCGATCTTGTCCGCCCGCACGTACATCTCGTTGTCCGCCGCCCGGACGAACACGTCGGCGCCGGCGCCGGCGCCGCCGGTGGCCGCGGCGCTGCTGATGCCGCTGAAGCTGTGGCTGCGGCTGCACCCGGCGCCACCGCTGCTCGTCATGGACTTCGTTCTTTGTCGATCTCGCTCCTCGGCAAAGAACACAACGGACGATCTGCCTGTGGTTGTGTGTGTGTGAAATGGAAAGGACTGGGTTTCTTCTCCTTATATGGCCTCTTCTTCCTGGATGCGCCAAATTAAATTTTGTTTCTAATGCAGGAGAAGATGGATATGAAATCGTTTCTGCCCTCTTTTCTGCTTCAATTAAAGCCCCCAAATCTTCCAAGGAAACCAACCACGCATGCAACGTGCCTACAACCAGATATCGATGGCGAACACACGCAATGCATCCATCCGAAAATTTGAGCGAAGCGCCCCCCCCCCCCCCCCTAACACCCTCCCTCTTGGAACGTAAAGCGCAAAATCAAATGGAAAGAAACAGAAAAGAAAAACAAAATCTCAGTCAGAAATCAACCCCGCGCCGAAAGTGTCAAAAAGGAAGTAAACAAGATCTCTCAAAACAAAATATCAATTCGGAGGGAGGAATCAAGAACTGCCTTAATAAACAGTTAAAAAAATTAACTAATCAACCAAGAAGGAGGCTAATGCCGGATGGAATTAGCCCCTTCTTGATCCAACGACCCAAACCTACGCTAAGATGGAGATATTTCCTCCCATGAACACAATCTCTCCTCTCTCTTGAGATCTAAATCGATAGATTAAAATGCGTTCGAATTGGGGGGTGAGGCTCGGAATGGATGGACGCTGTTGACACGGAGAGATGCGAGGGAAGGGATCGGAGGAAGAAAATATTAGCGAGAGAATCAAGGGAAGGAGACCCATTCCTGGCCTCGGCCTGACAGCCAGCCAACGATGCGTTACGAAAGGAAACGAAACGGCTCATCTCTGCTGCAGGTTTTCGTCAGTAAATGGAAGACGCTGTAGAATGTAGATGCGACTCGCAATTCCCACTGACAAGTGGGGTCCACTTTTTGACCCAGCTCGGTTATTGGGCCTCCGCGACCCAACGGAGGACGGGCCGGCCCACCCCAAAAACGTCCCCGCTAACTCACAAACACGAACTCCACGTGGTTCATTTTTAACTTATGTTCGTGGTTTTTATCCCGATAAAAACGAGACAAATATGTTCTTAGGTGACGTCCCTCGTAGAGTTCAAAATATCGAACAAAATTTTCTAAATTTCGGTACTATCGCACCCCCGATATGAATCATATGATATCATTTCGTTCAAAATTTTTATTCTTTTTTTTATTTTCTGTGAATTCGGTAATATTGTGTTTAGATTTGACCAAATTTTATTCGAAAATTTCGGTAAATCGGCATCCTCCGATGCCAACGCCGAATACTAAAGATTGAACCCACTCCCTACCCGCTTTTACCCCGAGAAAAACGAGACGTGGCTTCACCGTGTGCCACGACACAACAGAACAGAACAGCCTTCACAGCCGCAACACGTGCCAAGCGTGCAGTCAAACGAAGCAGAGTTAACATCCCAGCAGAGCAGCAGGCGCAGAGCAAATCTATCATTTCATCGAAGGCAAATTACAACACAAACAAAAATCATATCAGCGATTACTTATTTTACAGGTTAATTAGTCAAGCGGGCACAAGCAAAGCACAACAACAGAAATCTCTCATCCAAGAAGCTTTAGATACACAAGCAATCTACGAATCGGATGCCCTGAAGAGGGTGAGGAGGGAGAGGAAGAGGTTGATGACGTCGAGGTAGAGCGCGACGGCGGCCCAGACATACTCGTCGTAGGAGTACCTCTTGATGAGGTTATCCGTGTCGTACACGATGTAGCCGCAGAACACGAGCGCGGCGAGGCCACCGTAGATCATCAGCGAGACCCTCCCGAGCGGGAAGAAGACCTGGATGAGCGCGAACACCATGAGGATCATGACGGCGGCGAAGAGGAACGGGCCGAGGAAGCTGAAGTCGTGGCCGCGCCGCGCCGCCCAGAACGTGTACGCCGTCAGGCTCACCACCACCGCGGCCGTCAGGATCGCCGACTCGAGGATCACCTCGCCCTTGGTGAACGCGCAGGTGAGGCCCACGGCGAAGCTGATCGCCGCCGTGAAGAGGGCCAGCAGGAGGAGGTTCACCGGGTGGCGCTGGTAGTAGTAGTAGAGCGGGCAAAGCACTGCATCATCATACAATCGGAATCGATGAAATGGGGGATGAAATTGATGAGAATGGAATTGGGGATTGATTGGATTGGATTGGATTGGAGAGCTTACCGATGAAGGGGAGGATGATGAGGAAGATGTAGAGGGCGAAGCCGGCGGGGGTGGAGACGAAGAAGAGGGCGACGGGGCGGACGAAGACGACGACGGAGGCGACGGCGATGGTGAGCAGCATCTGGATGGAGAGGATGGCGTACACCTTCCGGACGAACGCCCACCGCAGCTGCGGGCTCTCCAGCATCATCGGGTACAGCGGCCTCGCCATCCCCGCCTCCGCATCTCCCCCCGCCCACTCGGGCCCCTTCGGCGGCGGCCGGAAATACATCCTCTCTCGCTCCTCTTCCTCGCGCCGGTGAGGTTTCTTGGCTTCTCCGATCTGATCCTCCTCTCTGCTCTCTGCGCTTGCGCGGTGGCGATGGCTGGAGAGGCGGCGGCGGCGGGGGGGAGTTTTTAAGGCGGACGAGCGGTGGAGAGGAGGGCGCGAGAGAGGAAGTGAAGGTTCCGGACGGTTCAGCGGTTGGGGATCCGACGTGGCGGCGCCGTGGCTGGTATGTGGGGCCCAGGCGGGAGATGACGGTTCTAGCGCCGTTTCGTTCCGTTTCTGGTGGCGTCTGGAGGGGGGCGAGAGATTTGTGCGTTGCTTTTGCTTAGTGACGGGGGGTATCAGTAGTATCGTTCGTGTTGGTTGGTTTTCCGTGTCAAGCCAAGACACATTTTATATCTTGCTGCTTTGGGGATTTTGTAAGGGAGAAGCAAAGCATGAATGTTAGATAAGCTAGCACCAACAGGAATGGCAGATGGTTCTGTTTGGTAGTATCCCGTTGTGAATGTTAAACCAACCATAAAAATGTGTTGGTCATGATCTCTGCAGCACTACTCTTGATGGTTGACAGCTCTATCATTTGTGTTTTTACTTATTAAGGCCGTTGTCAAAATTTTAAATTTTAAGACTTTCTTGATGTTAAAATCGTAGTTAGGAGTTTTAAATAGTTGAGAACATTGAGGTTTTACAGTGGGAAGTCTTAAAATAAGCGTTCCGTGGGACTGTGTTTCTAGCTTCCTGCTTTTCTAGAGAACATTGAGTTGCAACAGGAATTGGATGGTGTGGTTAATTTGAATTGAGGTCAGTTCAGTTTGATCAAGACATGGATGGTGGGTGCTGTAAGGTCCTGAGAAATCTGGTCATTGTTTTTCTTTTTCGAAAAAGAGAAATCTGGTCATTCCGTCATTGTATTTGTACCGTAAAATATTACCACTAAAATCTTGACTTATACAGCGAGAATACTCACTCCCGGGCAACCAACGTGAGGCGTCATTATCGGGCGCTCCCCCCGGACGCCACGTGCCCCCTAGCCCACCATGTGTCATGCTCCCACCTGTCATGTGTCTCAAAAAAAAGTTTTATCTAGTATACTCACAATGTTTCACTATGCATAGATCTAATGTTACAGTGAATTGAAAACATTCTTTTGCAACAAATCAACCACATATTTTAGAAACCCTCTATTAAGGAATTCGTTTCATTTTTTGTTACACCAAAAATGTTTCACCTAGTGTACTTACAATGTTTATCTAATATTGCACTAAACGAAACATTTTTTCCCAACAAATCATCCACATATTTTAGAAACCATCTATTAAGGGAATACGTTTTAATTTTTTGTTCCACCAAAAATATTTCACCTAGTGTGGATCAAATGTTGCAGTGAACTGAAACATTCTTTCGCTATTTGCTGAAACGTTGTTTTTTTATATAAGGTGAAACAACGTCCGATTTAAACGATTGAAATATTTTCGATCTACTTAGTGGAACAATTCCGATATACCTGATAGAACATCGTGCAACATTTAAAAATAATTTAATAATAAGCTAAAAAAATTTCATCGGAATATATCCATGTATGGTCTTATTTTGAAGATTTAATTACAATGAATTTAATGGTCCAATCGGATCATGATTTGGATAAATAATTTAAGAGAAAAAATAGTTTAAAGTGTTTTTGCACGCATCGTCTGATTTTAACCCCCTCTCATCGAACGGAGCGAGAGTCGCTTCCCTTATACAACGATGAGACAGCCAGATATATTTCTCACTCGGAACCCTTCTAATCCGTTTGGTTGGGGGAGCTTTTAGAGGACCGAAAGTTTAGAGGATGGGGGTATTACCTATTCTGTTTGATTGGAGACATGAGATTTTTCTTTATGAGGCTGGAAAATTGAGGGATAAATTCCTACTTTTCAATAACTTGTAGGAGTGGTATTTGGAAGAGAATTCCTCCTTGAGAAAAAAAAAGTGCCGTCCTGAAAATAAGCCTGTCAAAAAGGGCGAAAAAACCGTTAGAAAAAACTAAACAGTCTAAAAAACCGGTATATACCACGCAAGATAAAAAAAACTACGCAATGCGGGAAAAAAAACCAGTCCGATTGCACGCAACGCAAGAAGAAGCCCATCCGATTCTACGAATAAACTTAAAAAAAACACGTAAAAAATCGTTTCACGAAATGTAAAAAAGAGTGATTCTCGGGAAAAAAACCACCATCAAAAAAAGTTCACGAAAAAAACTATTTTGCAGCGTTAAAAAGAAGTCTGATTCTAGAGGAAAAAAATATCGTCCCAAAAAAAACAGGTTTGGCACCACAAAACATTATATATATCTCTATTTCTTTCAAAAGCGAAACCTGTTTTTTTATTCATTAATATCTTCTTCGGATCGGTTTCTCGACGACGTACTTTTTGGATTTTTCATACATGCGTCAACGTATTTTTCGAGTACTGCGGGTATCCTCGGGGCATCACCAAATCAGTTTAGATCAACTGCGAGTATTTTGTATGTTGGTAGAGATCACGTCTATTGGCAAAGATCAACCGCATTGGTGCCGATCAAATACGACACCAACGACGCATCAAATACTAACACGGAACAGAAAGCAGCAGACTGCCGGCACAAGGATCTCTGTTATTACAGTATTACTGATGGACTGATTGTTAAGCTCCAAATAGCCACAGACAACAGAATTTTTTTTGAAACCCGACAGACAACAGAATGCAACAGGCTGCGAGACACTGGTCTGAAGAGGCAAAGCACTTTTAACTTCAGCTTCCTTGGCATCCGCCGAACGCTCCGCGACAACCTTTGACATCCCAAACATCTGAGATGCGAAACATGAAGCACAAGAAATGCTTCATCATCAAAATGTCCAAAATGCAGAAAGAGCAAAGAAGTGCAGTATCTGAGTGTTTGCACATCTGACCTTTTGGATGGTGTTTGAAGCATGTCTTGTGCTCATCCATGGAGGCATGGATGAACTCCTCGATATGGTCTTTCAGATCTTCGAGGAAAGTAGCGCCATCAGTCCTCTTCCGGCAACAAGTCATGGATGGGTTTTTGGGAACTGAATAGGCAGAATCTTGAGGTTGTGCATTGCTAGATTCCATCTTAAGCCTGAAAAAGAAAAGTCAAAGGGAAGTTGATTAGTATGAGTCTGAAGAAGACATCAACATTGTTAGAATAGGTGCAAACACAAGAACGCATATAGTAGTAAGTATATAGCAGAAATGCAGAGTAGCAGCGGCACAAAATTAACTGACTGCACTTCAGTTATCAAATCATAGATGCTACTACCAAACAGATTTAAAGGTTCACATTTATTTTTCAGGTAGAAACATCAGTAGCTACTACTCAGCCAACCGTGTCCAAACTACGACGGCCTAGAATTACAAACAAGATGACGCAGCAAAGAACTACTCACTGATCGATAAGATCTCACAGCTCCAAAAATTCCACCATCGAATACCTAAGAGGATTTACACTTGTCTCAAGTTGGTTATGATCAGATGCGAGCCCCCTTCACTGAGATTCGACTGCCACCGGAGTCACCTCCCGCCCTTCCCTGGAGCTGCTGCATCCTTGACCATGGGCTCGACCTTCTTTTTGCCAAACACCTGAAACACATCACAGGAAACCTGCAGATTATCCCTCAAGATCCATCAGAGGAAACAGCATGTTATAATTAGCTATCAAATTACACCATAAAGAGAAGATTGAATTAACTTCAATCTGAAAGAACAGAGAACACTAAGTATAGCAAGAACAGAGAACAGGAGTACTGCCATCCGTTGCAACTGGCGAACCAGATTGCAATTAGAGTGTGTTGCTAACTTGAATTGCAAATGCTTGTATACACTACTGCAGTTAACTAATTGTCTATGTCAAATACTCAGGAGATCTCCTCACAAGCTAATCTATAATTTGCCACTAATTCAACGTGACTGCTAGCAACAAACAGATCTAGATGTACGCACAGGTTAATAGCCACCACCAAATGACTCGACAACAACAACAACAACAAAAGCATCACAAATCCACAGGGAAAAAACCGAATGCCTCTGCTCCTCTACTACTCAAATAGAACAGCACTGAACCCCACCACAAACGACGATTCAAATCGCGAACACAGGAACCCATTCACGCAGGCCTTCCCATAAACACAACGAAGGCACTAATCGAACTCACATTGCTGCGTTGTTGGTAAAACATCACACGCTTGTTAAACCTCAAGCACTAGTAGAGTTTCTACAGAAACAGAGACTTGGCGGTACTAATTGCAAGCAGAACAGGGTGCACGTAGCGAAGAAAACTCCACCAAATTTGTAGCAAAAGAGAGATCCTAATCCTTATGTTCGCATGCGTAGACACCGATTCAATCTAAAAGAACATCACGATCTAAGGCGAATTTTTTTTAAAAAAAAAACTAAATGCTTCTCCGTTTCAAATAAATACAACACTAAACTCGCGAATGATTCAAATAGCGAAACACTAACCTATTCGCGCAGACTTTTCCCCCTAAACACCGACAAGGCTTTATGCAAAATAGGAACTCGAAAAAAAGATCAAATGCTTGTCAAAATAACAACCGCTTTGGCACTAGAACCTGCATGCTAATCATCCGTTCTCAGAAAAACAAACGGTTGCAGAAGCGATCGATCACACTACATTCCTTCCGATTCAACACTCCAACCACGCGCTACGAATAGAACAGCACAGAACAAAACCCCCGAGAGGATGAACTAGTACTACACACAGCGGCCAATTACACTGAGAAACTCAAAAGCAAACCGAACCGCCAAGAGGAATCACGGCCAAAACACCAAGAGGATGAACTGTACTTACTACACGCGCGGCCAAAATCCAGACATGAATCCAAGAGGATGAACTATTAGGCCAAAACACAGGGAAACTCAGAAGCGAAACGCGATTCATCACAGGTCGGAAACCCAGCAGCAAAGTTGTGCAGGAGGGAGGAGAGGGGGCGTGCTCGGGTGTAAACTGGGCTTACCGAGCTGCTCTTCTGTGAGACGTAGTCGCCGGCGGCGCGGAACTTGTCCTCGATGCAGATCCAGTGCTTTCTCGGCGGAGTTCTCCTTGAACTGGCTGTACTAGTCCTTGACGCGCGCGCTCCATAAACGTCGCCGCCCGAACATCATCCGCTGTTGCCTTGAGAGGTCCGGTAAATCAACCGTGGTGGTCGTCTTCTGAAAAACCTCGGCGATGAGGACTAATCCCTCTGAATTCCTTCCTATTCAACACGGGGACCGCGAAGAAACGAATCCTCCTCCTGCGCAAAAAAGAACACACACACAGTTAACGACGAATCGGAGAGAAGGAGCGAGAGAGATGAACAGAATGGCTCACCGCTATGTCGAATCCGACATTGTTGGGGGTGGGGGGGGGGGGGGCAGGGAGAAGTTCGAATCTGTGGGTGGATGTGGCCGATCGAGAGAGAGAGAGAGGGAGAGATGGAGAGGAGAAGGTGTGCTCTAATTTATGGACCACGTTGCAGTGCGGTACACGTTACTGTGGCGGCGCCGTGTGAGTGTGAGCAAATGGTGCAACGACGGGTGGTGCTAGTTGTGTACTCAAGCGATGTCGAAATGTACAACTGCGGGTGGCGGTGAACACACCCGTGGACCTGTGCGTGTGTCCGGCACGTTCGTGCAAATTAAGGATGTGTTTGGATGGTTTTGCCTGCGTAGGAGATGGCCGCCCGGTTTTTATAGGTGTTTGGTTGTTGGGCTGGTATAGGATATGGCCACCCCCTAAGGAATATTCGCAGTAGATGCCGAACAGATGCATCCGGCCGAATCGGGCGAACGGGGCGATCCAGGGACGGGCGAGCGCACGTAAAAGGAAAAAGTGGCATGCGCTCACCTCCTTCCCCCTCGTTTTCTCTTCCTCTCCTCTTCTTTTCTTTCTTTCTCACCGGTCTGAGTCTCTGGAGCTCTCAAGTCTGAACCCTAGCTTTTCTCCCTTCCTTTCCCCTTCATCTCCCCTGGTGGCGCAGCCGGAGGCGCCAACGGCCTCAAGCGCCGGCGCGAAGGGCTGCGTGGGAGGAGGCACAGGGTCATGGGAAGAGGCGCAGGGGCGCGGCAGACGCACGGGTGGAGGCGGTGGGTGTCGTTCAGCGGCGGCGGCGGTAGGCGGCGTCCAGCGGTTCAGGAGCGGCAAATGGTATTTGATGTTCTTCTTGATGGTCAACCAAGCAATGCACAGAGACACAACAGCAAAACTCATTGGTTTGTGGATTTAGATTCAGATTCGTCAGTTCAGTTTGTTGAAACACAAGTATAGCTGTGCTGCTTGTGCAGTACCTCAACAACCATCAGAACTTTCCGCAGGATTTTTCATTCAACTTGAAAACCAGTAAAATGATTAAGCTATGAGATGAAACAGGTGCTGATAACGAAACTTCCAAAAATAACTAGAAATGGCACAAAATGTCATTCACAGATAGGAGTGCATTGCAATATCGGATATGTAGTACAAGTGCTTGTCTTTGAATTGTCCGATGAAAATCTGCTCTATAACATTAATAAAACTTATTTGCTTACATTATATTGTAAAATCAGAGAAAAAAAGATATTTAGGCCATCTACAAGGAGAAGGAGGTATTCTCACCATTTCATCCAAAAGGTGATCACAACACCCATCCATCCTACCAAACAAAAAATTGGCTCACCATATCCACCTCTTCTCCTTCCAACCAAACATAAACTTGGCTCATCCTATCCGTCGAACCAAACAAAAATTGGATGGCCATATCCCTGAAAATATGGATGGACATATCCTATCCATCCTTGACCACCATCCAAACACACCCTAAAGGAGCCGATCGAGCAAGCGTTCTGACACAAGGGAGGCGTAGAGCAGCCTAGCTAATGTGATCCGAGTTGGGTGCGATTACATCAAAAGTTACGTGTCACATACAAAAAATAATGGGAGTATTAAAAAACTACCATAAGATTTTTGAGAAAAAACTTTCAGATATAACTATAGAATAATTGAAGTGTAATTACACTTTAATTACTATATTATGAGTGGATGATTTTGTGTGGATGTGACATCCCTACTATGAGTTTGTATTAGTTCCCTTTTGCGATTCTAGGGTTAGGGTCTAGGGAAATTGATTTTCAGATTTTTTTTTTGTTATTTTTCAATTTCGCAGTCGGATGGCTTAAGTGTCCGCATGCAACCGTCTACGAAAATCGATTTTGGCCGCATGCAAAAACCGATTTTGTAGTAGTGTCTCTTATCAAACATTTAGTGTGATATGTAAAAATACTAGAACGGTCTCGCGCGCTAAGCCGCGCGTGCTCGAAGCAGGCGATTTAATATAGCGAAAACAAAAGGAAATCAGTTCAGTATAGATATTAGTCCTGTCTATGGCAAGCAGCAAGCAATGCATGTTTGAATACTGAATCACGTTATGGAACCATGTTTTTATTCGTGAATGTACTTTGGTATAATCAGATGATGCAGGTGTATGGAAGGGGAAGCCGTTTTTCTGTTGTATGCTTGTGACTTGACCTGAGTGCACTAAGCTTTTGCGTTGAGTTTTTGCGTTGAGTTATTTTTTTAATACTTGTTCGAAGTCTGTATGCATTCTAAGGACGTGAAATTGGATTATTTCAATGGATATATGTTCAGATGCTCTCATATGGACATCATCAAGGTAGCCAACAAATCAGCAATCAGCAATGATATATTTAATCTCGCCACACAACTTGACAAGCTCATGTACTCTTAGATAAAACACGGTAAACATATAATACTTTCATATATTTATCATTTGAGATGACCATTAAACAGTACGGTATATACAGGCTCATATATTTGTTTGAGGAATGTCCGCAGCGACCTTTTCAAGATGAGGGACCATGACTAACATTATCTTATATCATATTTGCTGGGCCTGTGGAAAAACAAAACAAGAGCCAAAACCAAACTACAGACCAATAACAAAATGAATTCTATATCTAACCACTGTGAGCATAGTAACCTCATATTAGTACCAAAACCTTATTATGCAAACACAATGATATAAGCAATATATATATATATATATAGTAAATTTGTTTGGTGCTCCATGGTGCCCGGGCACCATTGTTGAAATTGAGTATATACCCAATTCAAATGAGCATGAAACTTTTTCAATTATTTAGGTATTAATATTAACTACTTTACTAACTAGTTGAAAGCAAGTTTGAACTGAATTTGAACTTGTTTTTGTTAGATTTTGATTCTAGGTATATAGCATCCATACATATAATTAGTTAGGTATGTAATCATGGATTGTGAAATAAAGTTAAATTTGAGTTGTTTTGTTGATAGGTATAGGTATGAATCGAATTCTTATAACTAGGTATATACTCACAATTTGAAAATTTTGAAAAATTTGAGTGATTTTGTGCATTTGAAACCATGGTGCCCGGGCACCATGGTGCCCCATATGAGTGTCCTATATATATATATATATATATATATATATATATATATTGAGCTCATCTACAAACGGTGTTGTGCAATACAATGACCTAAGACGCTAAGGACATACAATTGGGTTTTAATATAGCATATCCAGCAAATAAAGGTAAGATGGGTGTGTCATCTTTTTCACTTAATCTTCATGTGTGAACAATGCGTAGCTTTAACAGAGAACCATTAGAAAAGATCCATATGAGTGCCCAAAAATAAGTACTGCCAGTAATAGGTCATGACAGAAGAAAAGGAATCTTGAATAGATGCATAGCATGTAAGTATCTAACATTGTATGAAAATGCTACCTGGCAGATGCGCTAAACTTTTATTATGTAATCTATTATAGGCAATTAGCTATATTGCTTCCGAGAACAGAACGAAGGTAGTGGCACCGTAAAATCACAGGAAATAATAAATTGAATAGCATATCACCTGCTGGAGAGAATGACAAACCCTAAGTACTTGTTGCTTTTTTCCATCACCTGCACAAGCAACACTTGCATTTAATAAGGAGCAAAGAACAGTGACCACCTCATGGTAGCTCATAGCCACCTACTAACGTGAGAGCTTATTTTAAGAAAACGCAATACTATGGTCACCAACAAAAACTATTAAACCCAAATCAAAAGCAGACATAATATGTTTAAATAAAAAGAACCACCTTAGGTTCTTCTTGCTAGGTTGTTGCCAACTATCATTTTAGTGGGTTTCCTTGGTATCTCATACTGAATGGATAAATTAACGGATGCTTTGTGCGGTCTCCTTTCCCTGCATGGACAAACGAAGCAACATGATGGAATCGCTATGGATGCAGATGTGTTATTGAACTAGCAACCATCTTAAACATAAAAGAGGATAGTAAAATAGTAGGTGGAGCTTATGTTAAGAAGGTGTTACTAATGCTATGCATGTCAGCCCCCAAAACAAGCAGGCCAAAAAAAATCAGAAATAGCTTCTATGGGTTGAGATGAGAAGGCAGCCACACAACTCAGGTTCTAGCAGAACACATAAAAAAATAGACGGGATTCTCAAGCATACTCACGAGAGAATGAACAACAGACTGGTTTCTCAAGCATACTCACGAGAGAATGAACAACTCTGAACTAAAGGGGCAAAATGCAATCAGGGCAACAAACTCAATGGAGAAAATCCTAGATCCTTTGCATTCTGAGAGTTTTTTCTGGATGATCTGTGAGGTTTTCCATGTGGTTCTGATGCCCAACGTGATCAGCAAAAGGCCCTTGATCATTCCTGGCGTTTGTTTCCTGCTGGAAGAAGTAGGAGAAGAATTAGTTGGATTCGATTTCAGCAATGTGAGCAGCAGATTGCTTGCTCCCTTTTTTCAAACAAAAATTTTACTAAGAAAAAAAAATCCTATCTTTCTGCCATGGGAGGAGGACTCCAAAGAACATAAATTACCATCAAATAAGCTGGTAGAAGGATTCATTACCTAAAAGCTCGCCATATCCAGATTCAGCAAAACACTGAACAAGAACTCCAGGTCAGCTCAATGATTCCCCAGAATTTGGGTTTTCGCCAACAAATCAAGAACCGCGTCTTAGCTGAATAGGAGCCAATGCGGTTGCCGGCAGCATGACCACATGTCTGAAGCGCACCCCCAACAATCAAAGAAATGAAGTCTTTATTGGAAGCAAGACATAATGGGAGGAGCCATGTAAGCTATGCAACAGGTCCAACGAGCAAGTTGCTTCATGACCATGAAGAAAAACCATGTAAATGGAATCTGCGGGAATAAAAACAGAAGGAACTCTGTAGAGCTGACCCACAACAGAATAGAGTTATCTTTTAGAACATTATTCTTTTATTTAGAGGCAACAACAAAAATTATATTGAACTATCTTTCTGAATTTCGTCACACATCTTACCATACTCCCCCATATTAAGCATCTAGGATGCTCATCTAGCCAATATAACAAGATAATAGAATTTGCCCAAAGCATTGCATGTGGTTGTTCTTAAAGAAAGTAATAGCATTGCATAGTTGTTTCACTGGGGGAACAAAAGCTATCACTGCTGTTGAACAGCCAAGAAGATTGAATGTAAAAAGGAAATTTTACCGCCAACGGTTGAATATCAAATAATCAGGTTCAATTCATACAACAACCCAAAGGTTATGCAAGCAGAGCAGTGACGGGCCAAAGGTTATGCTGAATGACAGCATAAATCATTTCATTAAGCGCCACGTTTTCTTAATACTGTAACAATACTTATTTGTACAGAAACATGTCCGGTGGTCTTTTCACAGCTTCTTACTTTAACAGCTATTGGCTTTGTTTCCCCAAATCTCCAAAAATGTAAAATGTAAAGTAACAACCATACATTTGTAAGGCCTACTGTGGCAAGCAAATATAATCCCATGGCATGTAAGTTTCTGGACATTGTATGTTTAGCAACCTCATAAACCAGTGCCGCCACCCCTCAAAAAAAATTTAGTCTAGCAGTTGCAATTCTCTCTGCTGGAAGTCCAGAACACTGCAATCTCGCTCTATTCAGCAAGAAATAAACTCAGAGAAATTGGTTGTGCTGATCAATAGCATGTTCTATACAAAACAGTTCTCTTGTTTCATGTTGGACTTCATAGTGCTCAGAAGTGAGAACAATAGAACATAAGAGGCAGCTAGCTAGCATCCCATACCTTTGAGGTAGCAATCTAGCTCAACATAAGAGACCATATATAATGCGTGGTCCTATGTAAGAACTATGTGCTGCGCTACTTGATCCCCTAAAACCTACTTTTATTGGTAGCAAATACTCAAATCTGGATACTACACAGAGTAAATTGTGGTTGAAGTACAAAATTTATAGGAAACCCATACAACATCCACATAATTTGGTCGCTAGTCGCAATAATCCTTCACCATGTCATCCATAGTCAACTATTGAAATTTATTTTCTTTCGCATCGCACTGTAATAATCCATACATATATAAACATGTATCGTATAAATCAAGCAAATTTGACTGAACCAAATTTAGCGGATAAATGTTGTGTATGATACCTCATAATTGTCTTGTCCAGCTGCTTTTCGCAACAACTTTCGCAGAGGAAACACTGGAACCTCTTTGTCAGGTTAGTCCCAAATGTTATTCAAACCGCTTACATCCCTGCAATCCTCCAACCAAAATATATCTTTCTTCGCCTAATCAACCACACTTCAATGTCATGTTAACAGTGCGAATGTTGTATTGCCTCCGGCCGCATCACCACCGAGATCCTCGTCTCCACCCAGAGGCCTCATCATTGTTCCTGTACACAATCGTCGGCAGCGAGATCAGTGAGAGACAGAGGACGGCGGGAGGAGGATAAGGGCGAGGGATAGAGGAGTTGAGTAAGGAGTGACAAGGGGGGACGCTGACCTTTGGTGTCGATGACGGTGCCGAGGACGAGGGGACTGTCTGGCGCTGAGACGAAGAAGAGGACGAGGTGCCTCCATATCTAGCGGAGTGGGTGACACGGGAGCTACTGTACATCATCGCCGTCATCGATGAAGCCAGCAGTGGGGGATTTTTTGGGAGGAGGATGGGGAGGCCAGGACAAAGGGGAGGACGTTGCCGCTACCGCTGAGCAAGGAGAGACCAGATCCAGCCATGACGATGGCCTTCCCCTCCTCTCTCCCTGAAAACAAACAAACAAAAATACACTCAAACCACCAGCAACAGCAGTGAAATTAACCTCCGCGAGACCCCTAATCGATCTACCGAACAAGCCAACCGTGGGTTCCGCCTCGGCATCGTCGTCGAACTCGTCGGCGTTGAGGCCGCACCGCTCTAGAAAGCGAGGGCACTCCGTCGCCGACGCCGCCGCGCCCGAAGGAGCCGCGGAGGACGCCACGGGGAGATGGCGAACGGGGAGGCGGAGGGAGGGAGACGGCCTTAGGGTTTGGTGGAGAGGGGCGGGAGAAAGGGGGGAGGAAGCAAGCGGTCAGGGAGTCGGGGGGAGCGAGCGGGCGTGAGGATGAGGAAGGGGAAGAGACGAGTGGGCGACGTGGAGGGCTCGGCGCCAAGCGATCCCACGACGCGGTAAGCACGGGCGTTAGGAAAAAACGGATGGATAGATGTGGCCCATGCACAGGATCGAATGGTCCACGGGAAAGGCATCTAAAACCCAACCATATTCAATCCATATTAGCGAGGTGTCTCAAGCGGATTAGTCAACAGGAGCCAAATCGCTTTGGGAGCGGCAAACGCAGGCGCTTTAAGATATCTAGTATGAGTCATGTGCTTTGCAATGGGTGAACTTAATTTTAATTGTGCCGGAAAAAAACCGTTCATTGCATAATGAACATTAAAAAATAATTGTTTTCATTAACTTAGCACAAACTAATCAAATTGTAATATGCAGTGCATCATAGAAATAACAGTAGTGGCAACCCATGGGTGCACCAAAAACTGCCCACCCCATTGGCTCAATCAAAACCTAAAAAGCACCAATTTCATGACTCCACTACATTACTGCATTATCACTATATAATCACTTGTATATCAGACATCACATAAGTGGGACCCATTTATAATATCAGAATTAAAAAATATACATGGGACCCATTTGTCATTAAAAAGATTGTAGGACCCACTGACAGGTGGGGCCCACATGTCAGTCAATCCCTTCACCCATCTCTCTCCATCTCTCATCTTGTTCTTACTGGGATGTCTCTGAAGTGCACGTCCCACAACACGTCCATCATCTCAACGTCAGTGAGCACGGTGGCGCGGTTGCTGCGGAAACCCCACCCTACACAGCTCACCTCAGCCACTCTCTTCCCATCGATGCTGACCCGCACCTCCCCCTCGCCACCGTTGTCACTGCCGCGGGTGGCGTGCACCGCCGCCTCGTGCTCCACCCCGCCCTCCCGGAACCTACACTGCCGGCTGAGGACAACGGCGCCGCGTGGGGCTCCGTCGCTGTCTCCGAACCGGCGAGAGAGGTCCAAGTAGAATGCAGGCAATGAGGGGTAGAAAGGTTATATGGTGTGCGTGGATGGGTCAATAGCGACTAAGGTGGACAGAAAACGATCGGGAATTGATGGAAGTGTTCAAAATGTGAACGAGTGAACTTTGAGTACTATTAAAGTAAACCGATATCTTTAAGTGCTATAAAAAAACGTAAACTTTCGATGCTATATAACCAATTTTGCATAAATTTTTAGTTAGGTTAAGATAAGATAAGATAATTAGATTGAGGGAGTTAAATGCATATGGACTAGGTACGTTATGCATGAGCCTGGACTACGGGCTTCGGCCCATGGTTCTATCGATAGATTGATCAGATAACTCGTTAGAGATAGCATCGGTTTCCAATATCTCCTAGATTCGTGCCGCGATATTATTATTTTTTTTTCTGAACCTTCCGCGCCCTTCTGGCCGCGCGCCACGCTTCAATTCGCCTTTCAAGTCTCACCCGAGAACCTCTCCACCCTCCGCCATCGTGCCGCTGCTGCGTGATCAGCGTATATATACTGTGCGCCGTCGGAATTAACTTGGTTTCGTCCTTCGTCGAAATCAACTTGGTTTGGTTAGTTTGCGGTGCTTTAAGCCTAACCGGTGCGTACGTATACTGAAGCCATTAAATTTTCGTTTATTTTTCACTGCACGTAGATATATACGCGTTGCTAAAGGGCACAAATTAAGATTAACTTGGTTGCGTTGGATTGATTTTGGGAAAAGCTGATGCTTACATAAGCCAAATAAAAATCTGGTATAGCCATTCAACTTTCATATATATGTCGTATGGCGATTTTAAAATTTTACTCAATTAGTTTTCTCTTAATTAGTAGTATACCTACGTTCTTTTAATATATATGATGCCGTTTACTTTTTAAAATATGTTTAAAAATTTATCTTATTTAAAAATTATGGAATTATCATTTATTTCGTTATGATTTAATTTATTATTAAAAGTTATTCAAGCATGTTATATATTTTTAACATTTGTATATAAAAGTTTTAAACAAGACAAATAATCAAACCTACGTCAAAAGTCAAATGTATCGTATATTTAAAAACACACGGAATATCGAACATCTATGTATATGCATGCAGGCGGTACATCCACACTAGTAATTCAACATGCCTCGAGATAGAGGAGCGTCATCAAAAACCCTCGCCGAGCTCGGATACGTGGTCGGCATGGTCATCACGTGCTACGTAGAGCGCGAGTTCATTAGGGCAAGACGTGGAGGCCTTCTCGCATAATACCTGACAACATTCTATTTGATGCCCATGGGATTCTACTTCTTTGAGTTGAACAGCATGTTCTTAGTTTGCGACTTAATAGGAGCTCCAGGCTGGATCAGGACCCGGGGCCGTTTACGAGTGCTCCTTTTATTCTGAAGTGCACCTACAGTTTGTTAATCTTATTAATAAATAGATAGTGCATTTTGTATTTTAATTTATTATATTGTGTTTAAATCTTCCCAACTTCCTTGTCTTTTCTTTCCGTTTTGTATTTGCATGGGTTCATGAACCCACAAGCTCATAGAATATAAATCAATTGATGCTCTGAATTTTTTTCAATATATGGTGTATGTGTGTTACACAATGAGGAAGAGATTGTAGGGAGTCGTCACGGCCAGTTGCTCGATCGGGTGATTAAGCCGATGATGTGGGGGCTAAACGGTTAAGAGGAAGAAGCCAAAGGTGGTGCCGACATTGAAGACGTACAGAGGTCAACAATATGGTGGGCGACGCACACCCAATCTCTTAGGGCTTGTTTAGGTTCTAACTTTTTTCTTCAAACTTTTAACTTTTCTGTCACATCGAATTTTTTTTTGCACACACAAATTTCAAACTTTTCCGTCACATCGTTTTAATTTCTTTAAACTTCTAATTTTAACGTGGAACTAAAAACACCCTTAGAAGAAAAACAAACAGTAGAGCAGCAATACTGTCGCAAGCAAATAGTAGTGCAATACGTCTCCTAGCATGCCTCAATGTTCTATAGACCAATGTCCAGAACACCACGAACTCTCAAGTCTCAACTCTATTTATCAATGGTCCATATTCATAGCACCACAAATTTTGGCATCTTCCTTACTTCCTGGAAATGTAGCTTATCTTTTCTTTTAAGGTCTTTAAGGTTAAAGGGGCAACTTTATTGATTACGGAAATAAGGATTATATTCTTGGTCTAACAAGTCTATGATTTTTGCGGGAGCATACAATCTTCACACCGCACAGGACGTAGAGCTCATAGCCATTTCAGCTAAAACTATGAGCAACTATGAGCTCATAGTCTATGATTTTGGAGGCACCGGCCGCATCATCCCTGCGCTTCAAGAATAGTCGCAGCCAAGATGATCTCGATGAACCGTGCTTATCTCTTTAGGTAAATTTTGATACTCCCTCCGTTTCAAAATGTTTGACACCGTTGACTTTTTAGTACGTGTTTGACCATTCGTCTTATTAAAAAAAATTAAGTAATTATTTATTCTTTTCATATCATTTGATTTATTGTTAAATATACTTTCATGTACATATATAGTTTTACATATTTCACAAATTTTTTTGAATAAGATGAACGGTCAAACATATGCTAAAAAGCCAACGATGTTAAACATTTTGAAACGGATGGAGTACATGTCATTACACATTTATAATATTAGAACATCATCGTTTCTATTTGTGAAACCGGCTATGTTCCACTGAAATTTCCTAAAATTTGAGCCATGCCATTCTCTTCACTTTTTTCTATCATCTTCCCAAACTCCATCCATCCTCATCGGGGGAACCAGCATCCTGTGGTGGCAGAGCGTGTCCGCGGCGGCGGCGGCACCAACATCCGGCAATGTTGTCGAGCACAGTTCGCACCATGTCCTTGATCACCACCTCCTTGCTGATCCGGTCGACGGCGAGGTGCTCGCACGCGGGGCAAAGAGTTGCTCGCATATTGATATTGAGGGGATTTAGCCAGAAAAATTAATAATCCTGGTGAAGATTGAGCAGGATTTTGTGGTTTAATTAATTACTTGCATATTGCAATCCTGCCGAATCTCCGGGACATGCGATGTGTGTCGGCACACAGCTGCACGGCGAGGTTTTCGTTGGAGAGGCCGAGTGAGTAGAGGAACTCGACAAATGCTTGCGCGTGACGTCGACGGTGGCAGGGAGTTTGAGGCCTGGTACGTCGATGCCGAACGAGGCGAGGAATGTGGCAACGTTGGCACGGAGCAGCGGTGTGGCCACGCTCCATGTCAAGGAGGCTGGGGACGCAGGAAGTAGGGGCTATTCAGATTATGATACTTTCAACCATATTATTTTTTTTTAAAGTTGCTAAAAAAATATATACGTTTAGTTTGTTATCACATTTGGTAAATACATAAAAAATTCTGCTAAAATTTTGACAATATTATCAACTTGATAAAATTTTATCATTACCAAAATTTGGTAAAGTTTATTTTAGCTACAATTTAAATAGGTCCGTAGAGGAAAGAAGAGGCCGCAGAATGGGATGTGACCGCGCTCCATGTTCATCGAGCAGATGGAGACCGCCCGCATGCAGCTCCGCCGCCGGCGACGGCTGCTAGGGGACGGGCAGAATCCGGCGCATCCAGCACGCACCATGCGGACGACGTCTACGACCGCTGCCTGGCCCTCCTCGACTTCTCAGATAGCCGCCGGCGCACTACTGCGTTATACTGCTGCCTTTGCAGGATTTTCGGGAGCACCAGCGAAAACAAAATCCGATCGATTCCAGGGAAAAACTGACAAAAAAAAACCGCGTAAAAAAACGTTTCACGGAAAGTAAAAAAAAAGTGTCTGATTCCCGAAAAAACTGTCGTCCAAAGAAAATAGTTCGTGAAAAAAATATTCTGATTCCATTGAAAAAACACCATAAAAAACCCGGTTCGGCATCACACAAACGCTTTATATATCTTTATCTCTATCAAAAGCGAAATATGTTGTTGGTTCGTCAATTTATTCTTCGGATCGGTTTCTCGGCGATGTACCTTTTGGATTTTTCATGCACGCATC